AAGAAGAAGAAGAAGAAGAAGAAGAAGAAGAAGAAGAAGAAGAAGAAGAAGAAATAAAAAGAAGAAGCAGCAGCACAGAGAGCAGAGAGTAGAGATGTAGTTACCAGAAGGCGTCTGAGCGCCCAAGTTCCTGGGTCCGGCTGTCGGGCACACTGTGGTCAGCTCGTCTGAGCGGTCAGGACAGTCGTCCAGGCCATCACAGAGCTGGTCACTGACCAGACACAGGTGCTCACTACACGTGAAGGCACACTTTACATCTGACCAATCACAGGAGTGGACGGGAGGGAGGCCGGGCCGCGGGAGGAAGAGAGAGAGCCAGGGAGAAATGTGTCAGACAAGTTAGTAATATTGTCGCTCGAAACGTTCCTACAAAAGTACAGTAAAACCGCCACAAACAAGTTAGTTATTTTAGTAGATGTTTTACGGCGCTCGCAATTGCATAAGGTCATATGAGCGCTAGGAGATTAGAGGTGTTACAAGAGAGTAATAAACATAAAGAAGAAGAAGGGGAATTTTTGTTTTAGTAGAGGTTTTACGGCGCTCGCAATTGTATAAGGTCATATGAGCGCTAGGAGATTAGAGACGTTACAAGAGAGTAAAATAAACAAAAAAGAAGGAGGAGAGACCGGGATAATAGTTGCTAGATAGGAAAGAAGGAGCAAACCACACCAGAGCACCCACCAACCACCCACTACAAACACTAGGAGCCATCGAGTCAAGAACAACAGCACTCTAAGGACAGCCACCCATTACTGGCGAGACGTTCTGCCCGGGCAGGGAAAGTACAGGACAATTTAGCAAGTTCTACCGGCCAATAATGACTGTGTCTGGCAGCTTATGTCCTCAGACAATGAGATTATTGATCTAAAAAGACAGGCCAGGGCTTAAACTGACAAGTGTATCATTACACTCATCCCTGTCTACCCCCACGTCTACTCACGCGCGCTCTTCCACGGGAGTCGGAATCTATGCAGTAAAGTGAACCATTTCTTGGACCCCCACCAGGATAAA